AGGGAGGGAGGTAGGGAGGGAGGGAGAGAGAGAGAGAGAGAGAGTACAAACAATTTTGCAAGAAAATTAATGTTTAAAATGTAAGTCTCAGACTATGACTCATAAAGTTTATATTTCTATCAACTTGATTTATATACCTGCCCCAATGACCACTGCATCATATTCTGTCTTGAGTTGCATATGACGACACTGCTGGCTATAGGCTCCGGAGAAATTGTTCAAATTCCTCAAAAAACGGGTACCACAGCCTCGAAGCATTTTGGAAAGTTTAATCAAGCTACCTGTAGATTAGATACCAGCAGATAAATTGTATTTAAAAAAATTATAGAAGCACCTACAAATAAGACAAGAGAGAGAAATCATGAAAAAAGGAAATTAATTTTAATTACTTTTCAGATATTGGCATCGAACCCCTCAACATTTTGAGCAAGGCATAAAAAAATGTTACATGGTATAATGGTAAACCAGTGGCTCAAAACACCTAGCATCAATGACTTGAAACAACACAGCATCCTTGATTTTGTAAGAATTTCAAACCATTGTAGGAATACAGTTGAACTTGCAATAACAGAACCATTATTGTTTCCAAGACAGAACCTATTATGACAGAATCTCCGCGTTCCCCCTTGATCAATTCCTCTATAATGTTTGTCTAAGAAAATAGAAATGTTGACAGATTCGAGATCCTTCCCTTCCAAGGCTTTTGACCTGTCGAAAATAGAACATGATTTGCCCTCTCAAAATTTATTTTAAATAAAACTCCATTCCCAATTAAGTTTCATTCCACCGGCTCTAGCCTTCATGATGCCACTCTGTCAGGCAAAGATCTTGAAAGGGTGCGGTTTGGGGGTAGTTGTTATACACCTCCAACCATGTGAGCCCTGAGTGATGCTGCTGATCAGGGTGGTGTGGGTTGAAATCTCACTGCATCTCTTGTCTTTAAAGTGCTCAAGTGGCAGGCGAACAAGCAAACTTTTCTGAGTTGCCAGAGGTGTGAAGTTTGACTACTTTCTCCTGCCCTGATCTTTCAGCCAGCCGAGAAAGAAGTTCCCCAAATCATTGTTTCAGAGAAGGGGAGGTACTGCTTATTACAATGATGGGTGGGGGATAGATATTTTCATACATAATTATGGGGGAGCTCCTTTGTGTTTTTTCCCGACCTGCATTGTATAATGATATCTGCTGTTCTTTCACAGTGCTTACTTGCATGCTTCTCTTCTAGGCCTATTTATTGCTTTCATCATGTGTGGTTATGACTCTGTTGGACTGTGACTGACACCTTCAAAATGAACTGAAGGAATTATAAGAGCAACAATGGGAAGAAAATGCTCAGTTGGTGGATGCAAAACTGGCTATGACAGTCGCTGAAATGACCTCATTGTTTTTAAAGTGCCGTAAAACTCTTAACTCAACTCAAGTCAACTTTCTGTCTTTCCGTCGTTTTTGTCTGTCTAGAATAATTTTTTACATGTCCGTTCGTTTCAACACAAACACAGGAAGCTAAACCATCGAGAGAGAGAGAGAGAGAGAGAGGGGGGGGGGGGGGGGGGGGGGGTGGAGAGATTGAGAGAGAGAGAGAGAGAGAGAGAGAGAGAGAGAGAGAGAGAGAGAGAGAGAGAGAGAGAGAGAGAGAGAGAGAAGGGGAGAGGGAGAAAGAGACCGCCTAGCCGTGGCCGTCGTAATCATTATTATCATAATTACAAAGGTCACTGCTTGCAGTGGGCTGAAGCCTGAGCGGCCGGTGTGCCAGCCCACAAGCAAGGTGTGTAGTTCTTGGGCTGCGCTGCCTGTTTTATGATCTCCTAGATTGGAACCCACAGGGTAAAAAATCAAGTGGAAGACCACGGGAACCTGGCCTGGAGAAGAGTCACGGAAATGGATACCCAAACAGAAAAGTGGGAAGACATGGAGTGATATCAAGCGACTAGCCCAAGATAGGACAAAGGTGGAAAGTGTTTGTTCGGTTCGTGGCCTATCCTGATCCAGGGTGAGAAAGGAAATGACGATGAAATTGTTGAAGAGTAGAGATCCGAGTTCCGCAGTGCGCTGGCCTTGCCATGGCCATGGGCATGTCCAGGTCATTCAGTCACTTCATTTGAACTCGATTGAGTGAGTGTCGTATCATCATCACAGACTAACACTGAAGACACTGAAGTTGGGAGGACTTCCGTAGCGAGCGACCACTATGAGACAGAGTAGGCCTAGATCTAGTAGAGGGGTAGATCTAGGGTTAGGCCTAGAGTCAGGGTTAGGGTAGGTCTCTTCTTTAGTTTTTGTTGGGGTGGTCGCTCGTTACGAAAGTCCTTCCTTGAAGTTACACATATAATCAACCTAATCAGTAAAATACACTCACACGCTCTCTCAGACAGTCAGTCAAATAATTTGGATAGCGTGTTGGGCCTCACGAAGCAAAACAGTGATCCTTGTCTGTCAGACTGTCAGAGGCGAAGGAGTAAAGTGGAAAGGTGAAAGGTAGCCAAGAGACCTGGAGAACTCTTTTGAATCTTTCCTTTTTCCACTTCCAATTTCCAATACAAAATGGCTTAAAACTAACTTCCGGTTCAAAGCTTTTGTTTCGACCAAAGTAAAGAGGCCAGATTAGACATTAGATAGACATAGAATCTATAAAAATTAAGACTGAGATGGTCTTTGAATACAGGTTTGATTATTTCTTGATTGGCCACCTTTATTCTCAGAATAACCCATGTCTCGCTCTTCTCTCCCCGGGTGAAAATAACCCATGTGTCGCTATCCCCGCTATTC